ACTAGAAACTGATCAACAAAACATTTTAAGGGACTTGTCTGTTTTGATCTATTTTGATTCGAGCTGACTGAATGAAGTACAGAAAGCACAAAGAATGAATAGTAGATTGGAATTTTAAAAATATAAGGTGCTAACAAAACAAAGAGGAACTTATATTTTAAAAAATCTGAGTTTTAAAGTGACGGGGATTCTTTTACTGTGATTTCTCCTGGGGAACCAACCTAGCCAAATACTACCAAGTAATACTTGTAGTGACTAGTAAAGGCTGTTGCTTAATCTGGATAGTGTTTGAAACATTTCCCTTTGGCTAGAACCAAGGAGTGCTGTTTAACTCCCAATTTACAGCTTTGGGTGGAAATCACCAAGTTCCACATGATTTCCACTCAAATTGGCCTAAGATTTGTTTCTAATTCAGCCCAAACTTCACTCCAGAGGCTTGTGACGCTGTAGGAATCTAGCTGGAGTTTCAGGCTTGTAACAAAACCCAAACTCACCACCATGGATGGTGGGTGAAGCTTCCCCTGGGGTGGCTAGCTCCCTGTCCAACCTCTTCCACCCGCAGTCCCACCCACACTCCAGCCTCACTCCGCCCCAGGCCCCACCCCTGCTCCACCCCCAGCCCTGCCACTGCTTACAGCGTCCCTCCTCACTCCCCCACCTGCTGCGAGGGTGGGAAGAGGCGGGGCCAGGTGTCTGGTGGTGGGGTGGCGGCAGCATACCTGCCGCCCTCGCTCACCACTTTTATTTCCTCGTCACTTAAGATGACACAACAGATACACCTGGGACATGCTCTGGCTCCCATTGAAGAGAGCGAGGCCCAGATGGCATTTAGGGTCCTAACTTCCATTGAAATCAAAGTTCAGAGCTTAAATACCTCTGTGCATTTGGGCTGTCCTTGGCTCCAACGGGAGCAGGAGTGGGCCTTTAATAAAGTTGTGCTGATGAACACATAGGCTTTGTTAAATTTGTTACAATTCTACCAAGCAATTTTGTCTTGTACCATTACTTACTTGTAGCCACACTTATTTACTTTAGACTCATGTAAATGGTTTCATAGTTTAAGACTGAACATTTATTTGAGTTGTGACATTGGGATGATGGAAATTTTTAAGTCCCTCTTGAATCATTTAATCCCTTTGGCTCACATAAGAGTCCCTGCTGGGAAGAGACACATTGGTCTACCAGTGGAAATCCTACATAGGCTTTTAAATATAAATTGCACTTTCTGAGCTGTCTAAACGATGTGGGATCACCATCCAGGACAGGACACAAGGAGCTGGGGACTCTCAAACTGTTGAGCTTTGAATTTGGGAGGATGAGAAGGAAATGAGACCATCTGTGTAATGAAATAGGAACCGATTGGACAGGCAAGGGATTGTGGGGCAAGTGCTACTCGGGGAGATGGTTAAGGAGAAAGACACTCCAAGAGAAAAGGTTTTCTGGACGACGTAAGGATGGTAGATGAAAGAGCTGTTGTCAAGGGCAAAGAAAACTAAGGCCAACAAGATTAGGGAAAGTGTAAAAAGATGACGAGGAGGCAGAAAAGTCCATCCAGCTAGAAGAAGAGGGGAAGGGACATGGATGGCACACAGGAGCTTGTACGGACCACACCCGTGTTGGGAAGGTGAATGGAGAAGACTCAGGGCTCAAGAAAAGGATGGAAAGGACTGAGAGCTGCTGAGGAGGAGGATACAGCTATGGTGGTTTTGCAGAGGACTGAAGAAAGGCACTGTGCACAGATGGGGTGGGACTAGAGCATCTGTTTCTAGAAGATTCAGGGAGAATAGATGGCTCCACAGATTCAGAGGAAAACAGCACATTCACATGGAACTGCTCACTCCCCTGCATCGTTCCCTGCCAGCCTGAAAGCTTGGCGTGAAGGAGAAGCAATGTGTAACAGAGATCAACAAAAATCAACCCACCAAAACACCTTACACAATAAATAGCCGAAGAGATTTTACCCTGCAGGTGGAGGAGAGCCAGAGACTCCATAAAGTCTACTAGGGACTTTGCTACTGCTATCAATTTGATGTGAAAGATGCTCAGACACTACGGTGATGGACGGCAGGATAAAACCCTATGACAGAGAGACAGACAGACAGACAACTCTGCTGCAGCTTTTTTGGGCCGTAGCATATTTCTTCCCAGCTGAATTCTCTTGTGCTCTGGCCTGCAATGGAGTGTGGGAACTTCAAATCCCAACCACCCAAGGCCAGGATGGGGAGAACTCCGGGCTCCAAGACTCTCAACAGCTCAGCTAGGAAGTATTGTACTGGAGTCCAGAACAGAGGCAGCTGGGTCCTAAGCTTGGTAATATGGTAGAAAGTGGGTGGTGCTGGGGAAAGGGCTCACAACATGGTGTCAAGTGTGGCACATACTGGATCCACCACAAACTGCAGTCTTGCCTACAGTCCACTGGTGGGCCATGACTATCAGAGAGCATAGACTATTTTAGAGAATACAGTGAACACCTGGCAGGAACAGTACCAAGGGAATACAGCTAGCATATGGCTAGAGGAAGGAAAGTCAGATGGGGTCAGTATAAATGGGAAGATCCAATGGAGGAAGCTGAGAGGGAAGATGAATAACGCAGAAAATGCAAAAGGGAATGAAGTTCTGAGGCCTGGAGAAGAGAAAATAAACTAGGCATAGTGCTTTGTCTATGTGCCGAGCATGACAGCACTGATTTATACCTGTTACCCGAAGTTAAGGGGTTGGCAGAGATCTTGGTGTGCTGGCAAGAAGGTCTTCAGATGAGGAAACGAACATCGCTCGGGACATGGGTGAGAGCTAGAACGATGGAGGGAACTCTGGAATAACTGAAAGCACGTTCAGTGAAAGAGAGCAGGAAGGTCAGTGGAGTTGGTGGAGGGAAGAGTTCCACTATCGAGGAGATGTTGCGGCAGACTCCAGGGTCCCTGGCCATGGTGAGGGTAGAGTCTGAATGAGGCAAGTGTGTGAGGAAGCCAGATTTTTAGATTCTGTGGGGAAGACCTGGTGAGAGAGGAAGGGAGGGCCCAGTGGAAGTGGTGGCAGGTGGGGCGAAGTGGGAGAAAGATCACCTCAGAAGCATTGGCTAGAGATGGGCAGGGGCAAAACTCTCAACATAATATTCATCTGTATTAGTATTAAAATGAGTACATATAGACAGCGACCTTCAACCCAAAGGATCCCACGGGATCACGGGATTTACAGAGGGAATCACTTCCCCCTCCACTGAAATGCAGCCACATCTGGTGTGAACAGGGCAGTCCTGTAACAGTCTACAGTGACACTGCACAGCAATTAGAGCAAGAAGTGGAGAGCACTGTATGGAGTTGAGATTCCAGGGGGGCATTTTTAAAGAGGCAGCATGAATTAAGAGCAGGATCAGGTGACCACATCCCACCAAGGGCAGACGGATCCCGAAGTGTACAAGAGCTGTCCCTGTATGGCGCTCACAAAGGAACACGATTTAGGCAAAGATAAGATACTGTGGATCCTTTTAGCGGATTTGAAGACAGACAACGGAGCCAGTCTGCACGAGTTATGGTGTCAGTTACATGATCCATCAGCTTCCCAGCCACAGCCTTATTTCAAGCAATAATTGCTTTTAAGATGAAAAAAAATGAAGGATGTCTGTGCCATGGAAACATCACAGAGGTCAAATTTAAAGAGTCCAGAGGCAAGGGGCCAGGCCCTGGGATGCCACTGCACAGGAACAAGTGCTGTCCAGGCGTGTGAGAGAACAAAAATACCTTCCCCTTTGCTCTCCCCTGATCCCGCTGCAGCATGTGCAAAGCTGGCTCCCCCTGCACAGGTTAGAGCCAAAGGGCCAAAATCTCAGCCCAGGAGGAATCCCAGCCACACGCCTCTTGCAGTAGAGGGAGAGGGAATGGCATGAGAGCTCCTACTTCAGCTCTACGCTGCTGAAGGATCATCCCTGCACTGGGAAGAGCCTCCTTGGGCTGGTTAAACCAGCCAGATTACATCAGTGGTGCAGGACAAAGTGGTCACAGTGGGGAAATCTGCATTAACTCTGGCACGTTGCACAGCCAGTATATTTTGTGGTATAGATCTAACCACAAAAGCAATAATCCAGGATTTCTCAAACTAGGGTCTGTGAGGGTACTCCAGCAGGTCCACAAGTCTTGTCCGGGACCACCAGCCCCACTGATCAATGCCGTGGATCAGCTGTTCAGTGGCGTGCAGGAGGTGCTGGGAGGGAGGGGGAGGAGCGGGGATGGGGCGCACTCAGGGGAGGAGGCGAAGAAGCGGGGGTGGGAAGAGGAGGGGCAGGGTAGGGTCTTGGGGGAAGGTGTGGAGTGGGGGAGGGGACTGGGGCTGAGCAGGGGGTCCATGAAAATGTTTAAATCAAAATGGGGGTCCTCGGATTGCTAAAGTTTGAGAACCACTGCAATAATCTATTTGGCGCACAAAGCAGGTCTAAAGAAAGTTCCGTTCACACGGCATGGACACTGCTGTAGGAATACTAGCTGTTGCCTTTCTTACCTGTTTTACCTATAACTGACCAACCCTAGTGCAGATTTAATTTCTTGACTCTAAAATAGTCTATTTTTTCCACTCTTTCCTTTTCAAAACCACCTGGACACAACCGGCTCCCATTTCCCAGGGAGGATCGCCTTTGGAAATGTTTAGAAGACTAAACAAAATATATAAAAGCCACAAAAACTAACACTGTGAGTGAGCTCCCCAAACATCATTCCCAGAGAAGTGCCTCCACGTCTTCACTTTTAGTAATAACTCTCTGCTCTTAGAGCGGATTGCACATGTCATGAGAAAAGCTCAAAGCATGATACAAACATAAATGAATGATCACTTCCTTGCAAATTAGGTCTGTACGGTCTTGTGCCTAAGGCAGTGCATGGGGAATCAGGAGACCTGGGTTCTATTCCTGGTTCTGCTGCTGTGTGGCCTTGGACAAGTCACTTCACCACTTTGGGCCTCAGTTTCCCCTCCCACTATTGTATATTTAGATTGGGGAAGGGACAGTCTCTTACATCACGTTTATGCAGTTCCTAGCACAGTGGGTCCTTGATCTCAGTAGTGGATTCTAGATGTCACTGTAACACAAACAGCAGTCATAATTTTGTTATTCCCATTCTACAGAGGAGACAATAGAGGCATAAAGAGTGAAGTGGCATAACAAGACCCACATAGCAGGGCACTGGAAGAGCCAGAAATAGAACACAAGGGGTCCTGATTCCCAGCCTTCTGCTAGCACTGCACGGTGACACTGGCGTTGTATACAATCGCAATCAGACTCTAATTGTGCAAATCCTCTGCTAATCCCAGCTGGGATCTAGAAGCACAGAAGTGTGTGAAAATGAAAATATTCATTTGAAAAGTTAACCAACTTTTTCAGGCCTAATAAGAGATTCAGTCTGAGTTTGGGGGAAGATTTGGGTCTGTTCTCACTTTATCTGAACCAGATTCAGTTTGGGTTCTGTGCTCATTCACTTTAGCTGAGCCAGTTCACCTATCCCTAGTTATAAAGGGAGTGTCTATAGACCTCAATATGTGACAGTACTGGGAGCTACAGTTTAGGAGCTGTCAGGCATCAGTGGTAGCCTAAGAGTAAAAAGCTACATAAAGAAGAAACAGTCATTATACTAGGTATTGGTTAGTCACAAAGGCTGATTATATTCCAGTCCCCTGCATCGCTCTGGTCAGTTACACCAAGGTTGTCTGTATACAGTCCTGACAGCCCTTCTTGTTAAAGGAATTTGAAACAAGGGAAATGAAACTTCCTCTTAACAGATTTCTTTGTGATATAAACCCAAAGCAGAAGGCGTCTCAGTATCCTCATGATCGCTTCCCTCTTTTCTTCACCCATTGATTGGCTAAGCTATCAATATTGCACCAAATCCTGTTCCCATCTTCCCTGAAAATAACTTATTTTGTTAGAGACACGGTCCATTTAAATTGAGTATGCCTTTTAAAAATGAGTTCAAAGCAGTGCCAGGCACTACAGTGTCCCTCTGGGACAGTTTTTATAGTTTTATAGCCACTGCTGTAACTGAGATCACCAGATCTGAGCTGATTTTAGATTCCTTAAACCCCACACAAGTGTATTATTAAAACAAGGAATGGACTGAAGCCTTCCAGTTTGGATCCTTCTCTGAACGGATGGGTGCTGCTCAGACCTGGGGACCCTGCCCAAACCCATCTCTGTCAAGAATTTCAGATCGTCTCCTAACTCCTAGTGGTGGCTGCCCCTTTGCACGTATATGATGTTGATTGGCTTCTGCTCCTTCCCTTGCAGCTGCAGTGCTGAGACTGCTGCAGAGTCTCCATCCATGGGATCATGTGACCCTAGGAAAGCTGATCTCTCTTCTCCAGAGGAGGACAGTGATCCAGCTACAGTCATTTCCATGGCAACACGGACCTGGAAGACCAAGCCAAATAATGAGACACCTAGTGACACTCAACCTGCAGGAAACGTAAGGAAAGATTCCCATTTCACCCCAGGCAGGTGGCTTTTGCCAGGCACTAATCACCGTTAGCATTTAATTAGTTAGATTTCAGAGTAGCAGCCATGTTAGAGTGTTCGGAAAGATCAGGGGCATACGAACAGGCTGATTTTTGACCCCGGCAATGGATGTAGAAAGGAAATCTGTGAATCAAGCCAGTTTTGTTAAATGAAGTTTTTCTGTTGCATTATTTTTAATTCACTGTTTTTTTCCTGGAAAGTTTTAGTGTAATAGGGGCTAGTTCTTCCCTCATCCCTGTACAGGCCACCCCTGGCTCGCTGGGATTGGAGCACCACTTGGTGTGTGTGTGTAACTTCCAAAATAACCCCCAAGAACCCCATAAGGACTTCATTCCACCCACCCCTACCCAGCACAGACATTCGCTGTGTAACCAACTGCTTGTATATTCGCGCTCTCTTCAACAGTTAGGTTTAGTTTTTAAAAATGTGTCTGAAACGGCAACATTGAACTGTTCAGTGACTGGTGATGCCAATCCATCTGAGAATGGAAGAGACAATGGGCTCAGTCTTACTTCTCTTGATACTGTTGTTTGTTTTACAGTAGTGCCTAGATCAGGACCCCATTGTACAAACCTAGAGAAAGAGATAGCCCCTGCCCTAGAGAGCAGAAGAAGAAACAGAGGAGAAGTCATCTGCCCATGACCCCACAACAGAGCTGGGCTTAGAACCCAGGGCTCCTGACTCCCATGCGGTTGCCCTAGCCCCAGACCACACAGCCTGCCCCCATGAGTGGGAGTTTTGCCATTGACTTCAGAGGCAGCAGGATCAGACTCTGTCATGGCATCCAGCAGCCTGCAGAGCCCAGGCTGGCTCCGTTGCTGCTTTTGGTTCTGACAAAGCTTTTAAATACTTCCTGGCCCCCGCCCTAACGCCACTTGCCTTTGTTGCAGAATTCCAGCCCGCGCAGATCCAGCTCTGACATCGCCCAGGAGACTGCGGACTGTGTCAAGGCCCAGCGGGAGTGCCGTCTGCGGCCTCATTTCAGTGACCCGATGCCAACAGATGCTGTGAAAAGGAAACAGCTGGAGCTGAAGATAGCGGCAGCAGCCCGGCAACACGCACAGAAGCGACGCCAGGAGAGAGACCCTGGTACCTGCACCGATTCCTGCATGGGCCTGGACAGACTGTCCGTGTCCTTCCTTAGTTTAATTGTAACAGGAGATTCTGCTCCCTCGAGAAGGACAGTTTAGAATTCAGTGGCTATGAACCAGATCCTCATCTTGTTTATACTGATGGAAATCTGGAGTAACACCACTGACTTCAGTGGAGTTGTTCTGGGCTTACGCTGGTGTAAAGGAATTCAGAATCTGGTCCAGGGGCTTGTATCAATGTAGTTTGATTGCTTATGCTGGTGTAATCTGGGCTAACCCCAGAGCGGTGGGAGGAGGCCCTAGCAACCATGGGAACTGACATAGCCATTTCTGCACCACCCCCACAGGATCCCCTCATGCAGGGAGCATGCTGGGAGTACTCCTAGCGGGAGGGGGACACGGCCAGGCTTTCCTATGCCCCGGCTATTCCTGGCTGCCCCAAGGGCCAAGAGTGGCTGCAGACAGCTGGGCTCAAGTTAGGGCAACCCCTGCTCTAATCTCCAGAAGGGACCAAACTGGCTTCTGGCAGCCCCCACATATGGGAGGCACAAAGATGGCATAAACTCACTGTGCCTGAGTCCAGTGGTGGGACAGGGATGGATTAGTCCCACTGGACTCCAAATTTGCACTGGCGTAAGTGAGAGGAGATTCAGCCCAAAGTCCCTGGACTATAACGCCTGGAACTGTCCTGCACTGGAGAGCACGAGGGACACGGATAAGACGAGCTAATTGGTGTGTAGCCGCATGCCCTCCTGCCTGCCCATTTATGGCAGGGCACAGTAGTGTCTCTGCCTCTGTTCCCCTCCTAGGCTTCTGCTGCCCCCTTCAGCATCTTCCAGGCTTAGGTGGCCCAGCCCCTACCTGTTCTGGGCCCCCAAATGCCACAATAAACACACAGAAATGAACTCTTCCCTTCCCTCGGGGCGGCCTGACGGGCTGTCCCCAGCCATCCTACTCACCCACAGCAAGAGCCCCAGGTCTGTGAGCTGGGCTCTCCCTTTTTAGCCCCTCCCACAAAGCTTGACACCTGCTTCCCGGGTCACAAGGTAGGGTGGATTGGGCCCCCAGCAGCCCATTAACCCTTTCCGGACTCCTCTGGGGTTTACACCCCCCCACCAGATGTTTTCTGGGATTCATAACAGATAGAGGGGTTCCTGCACTCACAAGTTCATCTGGCAACTGGCTCCCTCTAGGTCTATGTTCTAAATGACCCCATCCCCCACCACTGCCATACCAGATTACCAGATTTTTTAGCCATACCAGATTACGGCCTTGAAACATCAATCCCTGGGGGCAGAAGGATGTATTATTTGCCTGGCACGAGGCATCATACTGAGCACTGCAGAATAAATGGTAGGCAGAGAGCACAAGCCAGTTCATGTAACAACACAAAGCGCAGCAATGTCCGTGCTCCAGTTCCCAGCTTGAATCCCTGGGGGAACAAATGATTTTTTTTAAAGGTCCATTGTAAGGGTCGGATCCCCAGCTGGTGTACATGGGATGGCTCCATCGACTACTGAGTTGCACCCGCGGAGGATCTGGTCCGATTTCAGTAAGTTGCAGAGTCTGAAGTCGGAGCTGGCTTGCGCAGAAGGCAAGTGAGGGGTGGATCAGGGCTGTGTGTTTTCAGAGTCCACTGACACAGGCACTCACAGGCTGGCTCAAGCCCCCTTAGCAGTGGGACTGGTGGAGGGGCTCCACCTGGCTTCTCCATCTAGCAGCAGCAGAAGGGTGGGAGACAACTTGAAGCCCTATTTTCCCCTCATCCTCTCCCTTAGGCTCCTAGCTCCCACAGCTGCCCCCAGCTCGGAGTCTGTTGAGTGAGCTCTTCCCAGTCAGCAGTGCACGTCCTGAGCTTCGTTCGTGTCTGTGCTTTGCTCAGGTCCGGTGGTGGCTAAAGCCAACATCCCCTACGGCTGCAGCTTTGACGAGAACACCCATTCCCTGCGCAGCTCCCTGCGATCCAAGCACCGCTGGAGCAACGTCAGCAGCCTGAGTGCGGACAGCGGCATTGTTGGCATAACCGATGAAAGGGATGATGCCGAGGCCGGTGGCGCGACCAGAACCAGATCGGCGGAGGTGGAGAGGGCGGATAGCGGCATCGGCCAAGCATTGGCCAGGAAGTGGAAAAACAGGGCCTCTGAAACACTGACTTCTTTGCAGGCCTGGGAGGCACACCGGCCCTGCACAGACTGCGGTGAGAGAGATTTCCCAGTGGAGACAGAAGCACAGAACGAGAGCAAGAGAAGAGCCAACCTGTGTGCGAAGTGCCAGAAGCGCAGGACGGAGCGAAAGGAGTCGATCCTGGAGTTCGTCCACACAGAAGCCAGCTACGGCGAGGACCTGCGGATCATCAGGGAGGAGTTCTACCTCCCGATGCAGTCGGCTGGGCTGCTGACGCGGGAACAGCTGCTCGTGGTGTTCAGCAATATCCAGGAGCTGATTGACCTCAATGAAAATTTTCTGGAGTATCTCCAAGAAGAAATTGACCAGGCCTTTGATCAGGTACAGTCCCTGCACTCAGCTGTGCTTTCTGTCCATAGCAGCAGTGGCTGGGTCAATCATAGGGTCACATCATCGCACTAATTGAGAGGCAGCATTGTCTAATGGTTAGGGCAGGGGGGCTGAGAATAGGGCTCATAGGTTCTGTTTCCCAGTTCTCAGCCTCTTACCCGTCAGCACTCTGTCCAAAAGTCTCTCTCCCTTAGCTTTTTCTCAGGGTCATGCTACAAGTGCTTCTCTGGGGCTTCCTTGATGCCTCCTCTGGCTGCTTCTGTGGTGTTTCTCCTGCTTCTCTTTCTCACGCACACAACTCCATCAAAGGGTACCAAACCTCCTGCTTTTGCATCCGTCCCCCAGTCAAACCCCTCCACCCACATAGCTCAGATTCCCGACTAGCCTTGCACAGTGGCCTGTGTTTTGCGCGGTGGCTTCTGCTTTTTCAGTTGTCTATTCCATCAAGGAGCTGAATTGCTTCTTACATTTATCCTGAATGAAGGGCAGCTGATACACCAACCAGCTTCAGTGAGGTTTCACCTAACCATCCACATAACATTACCTTGTAAACAGGCAGCAACCTCAAATGGCGAGAACAGTCACTTTGGAAGTAGCATGAGATACAAAAATTATATCAGAGAATGGGGCCACCAGGAGTGCAGCCAGCCGTGGGAGGATCAC